GTACTGGATTTGCTAGGCGTTGTACGAGATCATGTACTCCAGTTTCTTGTAGACAGGACCTAATAGCATCGTTGAGACCATCGTACGTAACGGTACCAGCAACAATTGCTCTAGCTTCCAGTACGCCTACGATATCCTTTACGGTTGCAGCTCGGGTAGTTCAATTTCGGATAACGCATTCACCAAGCTCTGCTTTAGCCATTTCATCTCACACAATAGTGATACGTGCGGGGGTATTCCGGTTGGGCGAATTCGAGATTGTTCGCTTCCATCGCCAGTTTTTACTCGATTCAGCAATTGATGTTGCAAGTCTGTGTCTTGGAACAGTGGAGCCTCAAATAGTTGGTGTTCACGTGACAATGTTGCCTTCAGATATGTATAGTGATAGACAAGTGAGGCTTAGCAATACTCCGCTACAAATTCCAACCTCTCTGGAATACCAGGAAACATCAGTTTAACTCCAGTTTTCACCCATTCCTCGTGATCCTCAAAGTGTGGAGCCAAAATAGAAAACTGTGAACTCTCCGTAGGTAGACCAGCAACAGTGCGGCCGACGTGCTTATCGCCAGCTGCCTCGTATCGAAGATATGTATTCTGGACACCTCCTAAGGACCAACCTGCTCGCAAATGTACTGCTGTCGATGATGGACACACAGTCGATCCAGACGAGCAGAACGTAGCCGCACCTTTTCGCATAGAATGAGTACCTAGCTCCGTAGCTTTAAGTCGCTGGCGGCTCAGCTCAGCGGCGACATCTTGCTGTGTCAGAATTCGTTGCAGCGACTTCTGAAACCGCTCGTATTGGTTGTTACCGGGAAATAGTAAGTCTGTTCCGTCAAAATCATTACATGCCCAAAAGATCCGTAAAGCTAGAATTTGGCAAATTTCAGGTCACAAAGGGTTAACATATATGTGACGCGGGTCACGAGGGCGATCACCACCTTGGTCATTCTTCATATGAGCAAAATAGATCTGCAATGCGTCGCCACGCCATTCCATATGAGAGTGTCGAATG